AACTCCTTGTGACCTAACGCCATTCTTGCTATCAAAAAATCAAAACTTAAGCGTTTGATTAACACCGGGACAGTTTATTAACTTACCGCACGCAACGTGATGCAGGCCTTGAAAAACGACCAAAAAGAAGAAAGCTGCAAAACGTGAGGTGGGCATCGTTGTAAACTTGGTAAACAGGCTTGGTGTGTGAAACGCACAAGACTTTGCGGCGGGTAAATTAAAAGGAAAGTGGCTAGATGAATCTTGCTATAAATGTCCGTTATTTGCTTTGACGAGCCAAGTAATTAGAAGCAATAAACTGAATCAAATATTCATAACTTGGATGTAAATTCTTCATGCGCGACTTAATAGTACATGGCGCTCCAATTGACCACTCCAGAAAATACCATAACACACCAAAATGCTCTTTGTTTGTCACCCCAACTTTTGCATAAGCATTGTGTTTAGTTTCTCTTGGGGCCATTTTAACTCCCAAGAGAAACTGTAACTGCAATTTTGGAGTGACAAACAAAGAGCATTATGGTATGTTATGGTATTTCTGGAGTGGTCAATTAGAAGTATTTGACCCCGCGTTATTGACGCATTGACAAAGCTTTCTACTTTCATCGCAGGTTACGATTCTTTGCTTGTTCACTTGACGTCTTTCCCTTTGTTTTTTTATGCAAAGCGGGTATCACACTTTTAATGTTTTGTTTTTTAAAGTTACAACATACGAAGGGACATGTTACCGTACAGGTAGTTCAGGCTTCTAAATTTCGCGTTGTTGGTACTGCTACAATTTATAAAACACGCTCAACTCTCACCTTCTGGACACTTCGCTTTTGCGGACACCCAGATAGTACAGAGAGCAGCTGTATAAACCATTTTAAAGTGCAATAAGAGCCCCGGGGCCCGTTTCTCGAAAGTCCCGATAATTAACGGCTTCGATAAGCTGTTGCCGTTTAGATTAAAGATCGAGGTTTCAATAGTTTCGCATCTAACATGATAAAACTATCAGTTAATGAAACAAAATAGGGTAGTTTGCCAGCCAGGAACCGCGATCTTATTCTTTATATTTCGATTTGAATATTTGATTTCGGGCCCGAAAAGTCATACCGGGACTTTCGAGTAACGGGCCCCTGGCCCTCGAATATAAGCGAGGCTGGAGGTGACCTTGCTTTATAAAAAAACTTTCCAGCCTTTCATGAGCAAATCCTGTAATTGTCATGCTACCAAGCCCGTGGATATGATGATTTGTGAAAAACAGGAAGATTTGTAACAAGGTAAAGTCAACTCCAGCTTGCTTCTATTCAAAGGCCAGGCCACAAAGCAAGCAACTGAAAAATGGCTATTGTAAAATTATTGTAAAGTTAGACGAGAAATTCTGCGTGGAAAATTAACGTTCGCGCCATTCTACTTAGGCCACTAAGATGGGAAGCTTCAGAAAAGATGAGTCTTGATTTGATGCAATGTAATTTTCTACTCTTTTCAGTCTGTCTAGCTTATTTGGATATACTTTATAGCGGGTTTTTCTTCCACTGATTTACTGACAATGGTGTGTTATCGGCATTTTTGGCCTTTTCAGTGCGCGATTCCAGCGTGGTATTTTAGCTCTCCTGTTGTTCTCTCTCTATAGTAATAACAACAACAACAAACAACAATAATAATAATAATAATAATAGGTATTTAGGTATTTAGGTATTTTATTTATTTGCCACACGATTACGATAATTAAAAAAAGATGCCAAAAAAAAAAAAATGTAGGAAGAGATGGCGAGGAGGCCTAAAGGAAACTATAGAGCTTATGTTAATTAGGCCTCCTCAATTACAATTTTTCGAAGATAGTATAAAAATTACGGCGACGGATACAACATAATATGAGGTGAAAAATTAAACTAATCAATATGACGGAAGTGTACAAATGTTGAATGTTAAAAGGCTTTTTCCCAAAATTTTTGTTGGAGTATACTAATAATTATTACAAATAAATGCCTTAAGTGCTCTTTTAAAGGAGAAGGGTGAGGAAGCGTTGATGATGTTGGTGTTTAATAATAATAATAGTAATAATAAAGGCTGAGCGCTCAGATATCTACAGGAATTTTGGACTCCTATTTTAAAAGATACTTAATCTTGTACATTATCGAAATTTTATTTACATACCTTAGACGTTCCCATAATTAAATGGACAGCTATATGAACGATGGGTTTCAACTTACGAACATTTTCATTTTGTAATTAAGACGTAGATTTCTCAAAGAACTCCGCTATTAGGAGAAAGTTAATTATTTCTGCAGTCAGCGTTAGGCAAAGGAGAAGTAGTAGGTGAACTCCTTGTGACCTAACGCCATTCTTGCTAACAAAAAATCAAACTTAAGCGTTTGATTAACACCGGGACAGTTTATTAACTTACCGCACACAACGTGATGCAGGCCCTGAAAAACGACCAAAAAGAAGAAAACTGCAAAACGTGAGGTGGGCATCGTTGTAAACTTGGTAAACAGGCTTGGTGTGTGAGGCGCACAAGACTTTACGGCGGGTAAATTAAAAGGCAAGTGGCTAGATGAATCTTGCTATAAATGTCCGTTATTTGCTTTGACGAGCCAAGTTATTAGAAGCAATAAACTGAATCAAATATTCATAACTTGGATGTAAATTCTTCATGCGCGACTTAATAGTACATGGCGCTCCAATTGACCACTCCAGAAAATACCATAACATACCAAAATGCTCTTTGTTTGTCACCCCAACTTTTGCATAAGCATTGTTTTTAGTTTCTCTTGAGGGCATTTTAACTCCCAAGAGAAACTGAAGACAATGCTTATGCACAATTTTGGAGTGACAAACAAAGAGCATTATGGTGTGTTATGGTATTTCTGGAGTGGTCAATTAGAAGTATTTGACCCCGCGTTATTGACGCATTGACAAAGCTTTCTACTTTTATCGCAGGTGACGATTCTTTGCTTGTTCACTTGACGTCTTTCCCTTTGTTTTTTTTATGCAAAGCGGATAACACGCTTTTAATGTTTTGTTTTTTAAAGTTACAACATACGAAGGGCCATGTTACCGTACAGGTAGTTCAGGCTCCTAAGTTTCGCGTTGTTAGTACTGCTGCAATTTATAAATCAAGCTCAACTCTCACCTTCTGGACACTTCGCTTTTGCGGACACCCTGATAGTACAGAGAGCAGCTCTATAAACCATTTTAAAGTGCAATAAGAGCCCTGGGGCCCGTTTCTCGAAAGTGCCGATAATTAACGGCTTCGATAAGTAAGCTGTTGCCGTTTAGATTAAAGATCGAGGTTTCAATAGTTTCGCATCTAACATGATAAAACTATCAGTTAATGAAACAAAATAGGGTAGTTTGGCAGCCAGGAATCGCGCTCTTATTCTTTATATTTCGATTTGAATATTTGATTTCGGGCCCGAAAAGTCATACCGGGACTTTCGAGTAACGGGCCCCTGACCCTCGAATATAAGCGAGGCTGGAGGTGACCTTGCTTTATAAAAAAAACTTTCCAGCCTTTCATGAGCAAATCCTGTAATTGTCATGCTACCAAGCCCGTGGATATGATGATTTACATGTGAAAAACAGGAAGATTTGTAACAAGGCAAAGTCAACTCCAGCTTGCTTCTATTCAAAGGCTAGGCCACAAAGCAAGCAACTGTTAAATGGCTATTGTAAAATTATTGTAAAATTAGACGAGAAATTCTGCGTGGAAAATCAACGTTCGCGCCATTCTACTTAGGCCACTAAGATGGGAAGAATAGTCAATAGAGCGTTTTCAATCACGTGGCCAGAATCTATGCAATTTTATGGGAACAAAAGAAATTGCTTACATAACAAAGGAGTTGAACTCTTTTGGTCTGGAACACCAACATGGCCGCCGATCATTGTTTTGGGACACCAATAAGGCCGCCTTGTCATGTGAAAACGCTCTATAGTAATTGGGTTTCCTGTGAAAAAATACAATACTTTTTCTTTATTTTACACAGCACTTATGAGCTTGACAGTTCAAATAATTTATTTTATCACTTTCTCAATGTAAAATGCCATTTAAAACAGGCAACCACACGCAAAATTAGCGCGGAGATGTGGTCTTGAAGTAAAACCAAGATTCTACTAAGCTAACGAATTCATCGTCGTTGACTGTATGTCAGTGCATACATAGTTTTTAACTCATGTTAACTTACACCAAACGTTTCCAAAACCAGTAAGAACTAAAGCTATTTTGCAGGACGATCACAGAATTTCTTCAAGCTTTCTATTCCCTTCGACTACGAAACATTCGAGTGTTTCTCTTTCATTTCTTTTTAAGTTGCTGCTCGCGAGCCGCGCACTGGAGCGAAGTTAATAATTTTTCCGAGGTGTGCACAGTTTTTCAAATCAGCCCAACCCCATCAATCAAATTGTTGTCACGTGGGGATTTAATTCGATTTCCATTTCTCTTGGTCTCGTGATCGTGTTCCTCATGCAAGCATGCGCAGCAGCTCAAGTTTAAGCCGAGAGTTACATGGGCAATTGCATTGTCCTCATTAACCTTCTGCAAGCATAATTAACATAATTAATTAATTAATAGTTAATTAGCATAATTAACGCTCACAAAGTTAATCTCTGGGGGTCAGGTCTTTTCTTGGAATTTACGTCCGCTGGTGATCTTGTTATTAAGAAATTCTACACGAACTAAATCTGGTGTAAAGGCTTCTCAGTGTACCATTTTCTCCTTTTTAAAACTTTTAAGTAGAAAGCGAGGGGTTATCTTTAGTTTTCTCAGAGTCACGCGCGGCGATTGAAAAAGAAAAATTATGCCCTCTATCTACTGGGTCTCAAAAGAAAAACAAAAGTCCGATCGCAGTCTAATATTTGACTGGCTGAACCGCCCAGGTTAGCTTAGCTAGTAGCTGCTAGTGTGCAGTGGCGGTCCATTATGTTGTTACTTATATAGAGCCTGTTTACATGGAGAGGCGGGACCCCAGATGGGTGAGGCAACATGCAGCGGGTCACCCCAACTATCATGAAAATGTGTATATGGACAGGCAGGTTACCCCACCGAAGCGGGTTACCTCACCTACCTGGGGTTCCCCATCTCCATGAAAACAGGCCCGAAGAAGAAAAAGCGATAAGATCGGACTGGAGAGGGACGATTTTCGTTATAAAGGCGTTTAGTTGACCGACTTGTGCACTTGAATAATTTAGAGTTTGAGCGGGAGAAAAAGGGCAAAAACTCCAACCTCCTCTGATCAGGTACGAAATGATTCCTTATCTAACGAGACACTATTATTCAAAATTGTGTGCTCCTCTCGTCTTCTGGCTTGGGCCTAACAATAACCTCGGGTACGCCGACAGTTTGCGATTGTGGACGATAGTTTCCGACTACTTTGGGACTGTTGTTGTTTCTGTTCTCCGGTTCTATCCTGACCTCGGTCCCAGGTTGTCTCTCTTCGATGATCTCTTCCTCCACGGCGCGGTTTACCTGAAATATAAAAGATCCAGGTTATGGGATCATTAAGGTCAACTGAACGAAAATCGCTCTTTCTTTGGGACTAAGAAAACTGTCAGTAAAGAGATGTGTCCGTGAGGAACTGTGACCCGACTGCAGTTTAAACGATTGAACTTTTCCACAATTGCCCCCTTGGGATGATGAGATGATGAGACAACACGTATGAAGCGTATTCTATATCTTTCTCTTTAAAAGTGCATTTTTGAAATAACTGCGGCTCGTGTCCCACTTTGTTTTGCTCTTACCCCATTTTGATGTCATCTGTGATCTATAGAGTGTTTTCACATGACGTCTCGGCGGCCATATTGGTGTCCCAAAACAATGAAACGGCGGCCATGTTGGTGTCCTAAACCAATCCTCTGGGGGTTGAACTCTTTTCTTATGCAAACGCTTTCTTTTGTTTCAATAAATTTGCGTAGATGCAGGCCACGTGAGTGAAAACACTATTAGTAGTGAAGAGACGCTCGGCAACATGAAAAATATATCCGTCAAATACACCATGGCAATGACGGGATGGCGGTAACGCAATTTATTTAACTCGATCTTGTGGTTAGCGATTTTCCAAGAAACTTCAACCGAAATGAACGTCAGAAACTGTCTTTTTTATTGTAGCAAACAAATCAACAACAATTTTTCACGGTCTATACTCTTATCGACCATAAAAATGACGTCAAAATGTTCAAACCTTTGCAGTCTAACCGCTCGCACTCAACTTGAATTTTGAACTTTTTAACGTTGTTGCTATGGTCGATAAGAGTACAGCATTCTTGTCGATTTGTTTAGCTTATTGTATCGCTGCGGTGTTTGAACTTCAGAAAAGTGCTCATCTCACAACTGTTGGTACATACCCGAGCACCATGGTGACTATTCCTTGTTCTTGACCTCTCTGCCAGGTCTGCCGCACGCGCTTTCTTAAGTCTTCGGTTTCCACGCCACAGAAAAAACGCGATAGAACTGACGAGAACCATGGTGATAGATGAGGCCAAGATGATCGCCCAGGTTTCTTCCTTTGTTAGCTTTCCCTCGAGATCAGGGTCTTCTGCAAAAATTAATACTAAAAATAAATAAATAAATAAATAAAATGATAATGATGATGATGATGATGATGATGATTGTAATGTGCTTTTGAAAAAAACTAAATAAGTCTACGCGGCGTAAAAGAAACCTCTTCAAACACAATGTGCTATGATACCTTAAAATAATGTACTAGTCATGGAGGTATGTATGGTCCGCCTTAATTTGGAAAAATAAGCACAACGTCAAAACAGTGAATCCTGTAACGCGGATTTTTGCCCGGTTCGTAGGCTAGTTTTGTCTTGAATGTACTGTGAAGATTATGTGATGAGATTTAAAAAGAATTCTGTCGAGCCGTTCTCGTAGAGATATACAGAGAAGCGCTAAAGCTAAAATTTAGAAAAAAGTTGCACTCAGACGGGTGTTGAGATAACAGGTTAGTTTTCAGGATCAAAAGAAATAAAATACACCAAAGTTTCCAAGCAGCGAAATATGACATTAAGCAGCGTTCTGACGTTACTTGAGATTAATCTGAGTTATTATTCATTCAAAATATTTCTCTGTTTCTGAAGTGTGTAGAGCGACTGTGAATGAGTGATTTGTTTTGCCCTATTTTGTTTTAATTGTTTAAATTCTTACTTCCAATAAAAAAGGTTTCCTGGGTTGCGTTAGAATCGGCGCTTGAAAAACATTCGTATTTTCCTCGCAAATCTTCGCTCGTCACCGCAATGAGTAAATGGCTTTCCCAAGATCCTGGCTTTTTCAGTGCGGACAGGATGGCGACCCCAAGATCCTCCTCTTTCAAATCTTCTCCCTCTCTTTTCCATCTGACGGTATCCTGTCCAAGTGCTGTGCACGTGAAGTGAGCAATGTCGTTGTGTTTGGTATTTACAGTTGTTGCATTGGGCGGTACTTGCAAAAGAAATGGGAGAATTAGTGTTGTACTCATGCATGTAAACAAAAGCTCACGTAAACTGGGAAAGGCTACACAGTACTTCAGTAGGCTTGGGATTGGAAGAGAGAGGGAGAAGTTTGTAGGCTCCGCCCCAAGATCCAAACCGTTATTAGAGACCTTTAGATTCTTAGACGAGAACGACTACGAGTATAAGAGATTTTCTAAATGGTAAGTAGTGCTCACGTTTGAACCAGCGTCATTTTGGCGGGAAAACGTAGCGAGAGTGTCGTAGTGGCGCGAATAAGTTATCAAATGTTAGAAGTACAATGAAAAATTCCGGGGTGTCTATTTTTTGACAATACACGAAAAACCTTTAAATCAAATCTGGTACTCGTAGTCGTTCCCGACCTCGAATCTAAAAGTCTGTATTACCGAGTTTATTTACATTTTCTACCCTTTCAAATCCCAAGCCTTTAAATATCTGATGCCTGAAGAACCTCTCTCATGCGGAGCCTCCCCGTATAGGCTTATAAAGAATAGCCACCACACCCCGTGGTTTAGGTGACCTTCATGATCAGTCAGACACTGCTGCTACGCCTTGGTTGTTTTGTCGCTGCAAGGTAAATAGCTTCCAAATCAAAAGACTGGAAAGGCTTTATGGCATTGTTGTTAAGCAAACACTTGGATGAAATGCTAAACAATGTATTAAAAATGTACTGGTTTCCTTTTTCTTACAAAGATCGTTTATTCAAAGGAAAAACAACTACAGTAACATTTACATAGAAACCAAAAGTAAGGGCAACTGGCTTACTTAGTTTGAAGAGAAAGAGGAAAGGTTCTGTTTTCTCTCCAGTCTTTTGAAGTAAAAAGTTCATTACCTTTTTGTTATAGCATATAGTTATTGTCACAGTACAGAGACCAACAAAAAAGTCACGAAAGGTTCGCATAAAGATCATTTTAAGGTTTTCGTAGCTGGAGGCAGAGGTTGAATCAAGCTCATTTTTATACCTAAGTAAGGAGAATCAACGTGAAGCTTGAAGAAGTTTTGAGTAAGAAACGTTGAACACCGCAATCCACTACTATCAAGATAGTGACTTTCTCCTCCGCTATTTCAGCGGGGATATAGTAAAATGAGGTTGCCAACGGTAAAAAATAATGAATTAGTAAGAAATAGAAAAAGAAAACAAATAAATGTGAATTGAATGAATAAATTAATCTGCAAACAAAATAGTGCAAACCGAAACAACAGATCTTCTCTCTGTACGAAAACAAAGTGAATAGTGAAAACCGAGCTAGCCAGAATGAGATCGTGACTCCTGGTTTCTGCAATTTGATTTGATCTTACACTGAAACATAATATTTTTTATCCCTCTTGCATAATATATGTGAAGTACCTTCTCTGTTCATTAGAGTTAATCGTACCAAATGACTTGATACAAAAATTGAAGCTGTTTGAGGTTTTCTTGCTCAATTGCAGGAAAAGAATTTATTTTAACATCTTTAAACCTCAAGCGAACTACAAACTGCTCTCATGGGGTCCTTGACATCTTTCGTGTTACGTGAAAAGTATACTGAGCTAGAAGCGTTCTATATAAAATATAATAAAAAGAACTTACGCGATGCTTGTTCTCTCCGTACCCGTCCCGGGTGTGCCCTCTGATCTGCCATCAAGACATGGGCCATGCAAAAGAGAATTGAAATGTCCACTGCGACATTTCTCATGGCTCTAAAACACAACAAATGACAAATTTCTCTTTGAAGTAAAAGGACGGAAAGGCTCAGCGAGCTGTAACCGACAGTTTATATTTAATCAGTTGCTATTATCAGTTGGCCAATACGGCTGAGCACTCATTGTGGCGTCAGTGCAGCATAAAATGATTCAATATCTCGGAGGGGTGGGTACTCCCATATTTAAGCTATGTATACAGCGTATATCTTGACTGCCTTATAGGTCTTATATAGGTACATGCCTTGGGCGAGGACATGGCTTTCGTGGTGCTGAGTCCTTTTTTATAGGGTATTCTCTGACGACATTTTGGTTCTTTTTTACGTGTCGCAATTTGTGTTAAATGAACTAAGCTGTCGAAATTTGTAATAATTCCATCGCACTTTGTAATAAAATTTTTGAGATTAATTCAACTTACTTGGTTATCATTAATATCTTGAAAAACGTGAACGGTACACCATAATCAAAGGTGATGAAGTCATCAAGCTCGCAACCGTTACGAAAGTTATTACATTTTTATGGACTAAAAAATAGAAATCAGTAAAACTCTGGAAAAATGATACTAAGCGTTTCATCTTGACGCACCTTTGTACAGTAACAATAGTTTTCAAGGATTTTAGCAAACTTGATAGTTTGAAAAAACTGTCACGCTTTTATGTTTTTTCACAAGTCGATATTGCAATACATTACCCATATTCACTTCCAGCTGGTTTCGTAGTATTATTTGTTGAATGCTGTTTTCAAATTAATGAGAATAAGCAGAAAAAAAAAGCTGTTGGTTATTTTACTTAGCTTTTCAGAGCCTCAAACCGCTATCGTTAGATAGATTCTTGCTAGCCCCTGGAAAATACCAACACGGACACGATAATTTTTATGAATCTGATGAATGCTCCCACAATGAAGATGGAAATAAAAATACAAGCATGGCGACATGTCACAAAAAGTTGTCTTGACGAAGATCAAACTGAACGTTTATTGCAAAGTACGATGGAATTATTGGTTGCTTGTGATTGGTGGAACAGGAAATATGAGCATTAAATCACCGAAACGACTCCTATGAAACAAAGCGCTTTACTATATTTCTCGGCAAACGGCACTAAAATCAAAACTGAACAACACTCTCAGTGCACTGTGCTTCTCTGAAGAATCAAAATCGAAATTCTTGGTGATGACATCCCAACAAGTTTATTCTTGGAAAGCAGTAATTTTCACCTCATTCTCTCAAGGATGTTGCTGACCTAGCGTGATTCCAGTCTTGAAGGTACATTTATCTGACTTGCGGTTGTACTATTTAACAATTATTATCATTCGATGCAAATTTTTTTTCCTTTTCACTGGCCGAAAGCCCACCTGCAAATAACTGCCTACAAATAATGGTCTGCTCATGCGCAATGTCGTCCAACGGTGTTTGGCTGCGATCGCTCTTGCGTGATTAATATTATTTGCCTCAGCCTTCGAATTCGGCAAATAATTGATCTGCTTGCCACTGACAGTTCACGATATTTTGTTCAACCTCGTCCAATAACTGTTAAGTCTTTGAAATCGTGTATATACTAAAAGGAAACTGAAAGGAAATAGTACGAAAGAACCAAAAAGACAACACTAGGCACTCACTTTTAGAGAACTAAGTGTCCATTACGAGAAAGTTGGTCAATGTAATTCTTACCTCGAATTAAGGTGGCTGTCACAACCAAAACAAGGTGTATGTTTTGTGAGCGATTTATTTCCCTTGTCACCGCAGCTAAACTACTACGGTTCAAACTAAGCGAGCAGTAATACGAAAAAGAACTAATATCAACAGAGCCAACCAAGGTAAAACTTAACCAATAAGAGACTTATTTCGTCGGCAACTGAGGAATCTTGATATGATTAATTGTACGTTGGAACTTGAAACAGAGCAAACACTAGCGTCAGAATAACAAAGTTACTCTCGAATGTAATTCTCTTGAAGTAAGTTACGTAGTGCACCGTGGATCTCTAAACAAACAAGGGAAAACGGAAACGTCAGCAACAATTAAACATTATTGCTTTAAGCTACTGAAAAAAAAAACAAAAAAAAACGGCTAATCCAAAACTGATTATTAGAGTGCAATTTAAATCCCAGGTGATAAGAGCAACAATGATAAGCTGCGATGTAGTATTGTCAAACTGAAAGATCGAGTTTGAACTTAATAAAAGACTATAAACAACAATATGAAAATGAGAAAAAAAGTGATTGTGATTGATATATAAATTAATTTGGTAACAAATATTTGAAAAATTGTTTAATATATATGCCTAAGGCAGTTGAAATTTAATATTACAGTTTCTCAGTGAAACTTGGCTTCCTCAAGAAAATGCGATTGTAAATAAAAAATTCGAGTTGTGATCTTATTATTTATACTACATTGAGCATTTCCTTAGATTAGGTATTTTTTAAAATTTCAATCAAGTTTCATGTTTCCTTTTATCATTAACATGTTTCTATAGAGTCAACTCCTGAAATATTTTAGCTTAAATTGTTATTTCCTGGTGCAAAACCTTTTTCCTATCCGATTTTCACTGAGCAAAGCAACTAATTGCAACACCACTGACATGAAACCACAATCCGAGTTTTACCTTGACTTGACATATCATATATCCATATGGCTGGTGATTCGGAAAAGGCCTCCACGATTGGGGTCGCCAAAGCTCTTTTTGCTAATTGAAAATGACTATTCCTCTTTAGCTACCTTGAGTTATTGTTAGTTTTTTTTCCCCCCTTTTAACAGAGAGGAAACGTACAGAATACAGTCTTGGGTCACATGCTTATCATAAAAAAAGAAAACGAAGATACACCGGCCGGGCTCGCGGGATCTAACCGAGGTGAAAGAGAGGACATTTACATCTGTGTTGAAAGGCAGTTGGAACTGAAATTATCAAGAAAAAGGTTAACTTAAGAATTATGCTGCTGAATATAACCGCATACTTTTCTTATGGTCACGACAATGATTAGTGTTTAATTTCTCTCGGCTGTTAAGCTTTTTGAAGTGGGAAGAATTTCATAAGGGGTGGGGTACTTCTGCCTAGTATGAGATTCAAAATAAGATGCAGCCTGCTTCCAAGGGTGTGGCCTCTTGGTCTGAAAATGTTATCAATTTAACCTTCCGGTGTGAAAACAGAAACAAAGTTATTTGGAATGAACCGGATCTGAATTTCTTTGGATGAGGTTTTTGGGGTAAGGACTTCGTCTATTTAAGTCCGAATATCGTGGCGATATCACATATTTTACATAGCCTCACGATAACTGATATTTAATCGCGATGACGAAGGACTTTATTAACATTCAAATCCGAAGTTACAAAAACAGACTTCCAAGCGTCTCGAAGACAGAACAAAAGGGATCTTTAGCAATGACGACGGCTGCGGCAGCCAAAAACGAGTGAATTCGCGTTTTATCAGACTTTGTCGCGTTTATTCCAATTCACTAAAATAGTCAAATAGAGGTGAGTTTTCCTGAAGTTGAATTCTTGGGCCCTGCACCCCAACTTCAGAAAGAGAAAGAAAACTGAATTATAATTTGAACTGAATTGAATTATTATTTGAACTGAATTTGGAACTGAATTATTGTTTATTATTTGTGTGTTTATGTCCTCCAAAAAAACGTCGCATAAGGAAATTTCACGTCGTGGTCGTGCAGGAACGGCAAGGAAACATACCAAAGGTGTGTTGCACATGCAAAATTGTTGTTTACTTATTAAACCTATTGCCTTTTTAAAGTTCTCGTCGCCGTCGCCCTAGTCACCTCTTAAGCTCCCTAAATATAATCCTTTGTCATAAACAGTAGTAAATGCCTTTAGTACTTCCTCTTTTTCGTGTGTGGCAGCTGTGGTCCAAAGTCGGCAAATCCTCTACTAAACGAGTGTTCAGTTTCCTGAGTAACTGGCCGTTTCTCTCCAGCCTGATAATCAGATGGCCTTTTACTATACTTCCGGTTCCGGTGTTCCGGAAATGTGGGCATCATATCCGGTTCGACCGGAAGTGGCTTCTCAACAAAATAAGAGTTCTCCAGACAGTCAGCTGCTGAGGCCCGTTTACACGGGTCGTACATCAGCAAGTGATTTATAAGGGTTAGTCCCGCGGGACTTAACCACGAGAATTTGTGTTTAAGGTTATTGTATGGCTGTCGTTTGAAGTTCATAGATTTGGCCCCGGGCAGTTTTGAAAATCCTGGCCAAAGCTGGTCACTGGGAGTTCCTAGTAAGTCTACAATCAATTGAAACTGGTTGATCTCCGATTTTCCAGTCATCAGTGGCTTGTTACCGAGCAGTTCGCCAAATATGCAGCCAACAGCCCACATGTCTACAGCTGTAGTTTGTACTTTGGATCCTAGCAGGAGTTCCGGTGCACGGTACCACAGGGTTACCACTACAGGTGTCATGGGTTTGTACGGATAACCAAAAGCACGAGCCAGACCAAAATCAGCTGATAAAAAAAACAAAAAAAACAAATCAGTTCTCTTTCAATATTTGTCCAATGCTGTGCTCTAAGGAAAATTGAAGGGAGCCCAGTACTCTGGACCAGTAAAATCCAGGGTGCCCAGCATATGATTTGTATGAAAAATCTAAGGTTTTCTATTTGCCCAAGAGCAAAAGTTGGGTGCCAGGGGCCAATGGGCTCCGCTAAAGCACAGCCCTGATTGTCTTTGTTACCCTTATTGCGGCTGCCAGTTTTTTTTTTTAAAGTAACAAATCCATGTGTTTTTGTGGACACATACTGAAGGGTTAAACTTTCAATAATCAATTTATTCTCCCCTTCCCTTCCCCGCCTCGTTCTTTTGCCCCAACACCTACCCCAAGGGTTGCTATTTCAATTCTCCCCAATATTCAGTGATAATATCAATGATGGCAGCCATTGCACTACCAGCATAACCAAGATGTTTTCGTTTACCTAAACAATGTGCCTGCATTGTAGGCTACATGCTGGGTGGCTTTTTTTTTAAAAAAATGTAACTTTCAGCACAATAATTATTTTAATTTGGCCTAAAAATACCCTTAAAATAAAATGTTATTGTGACAAACCACCATTGTGGTGATCTGTTTGTTTCTTCAGGATGATATACCCTTTTACTGCACCAGCTTGGTCATGGATTGTCTTTTGTGGGGCAGTTCAAATTATACCAATTTCCAAATTAGGTGCAAAGATTGATCTGG